AAACCAAATAATTACCTGGAGATGGATTGAACGTTGAAGAAGACGATGGAAGACATATCATATTTCGAAGAACCTACAAAAAGATTCGAGAACACAGGTCAGATTTCGAAGAAGATTCGAGAACACCCTAAGCTAACAGAACCCTAAACGTTTACCTGGAAGATTGAAGAAGACGATGGAAGCAATATTGAAGAAAATGACGATCAAATTTGTTTTAGGGATGGCGATGAAATCTGGAACCGATGAAATCGATAGGGGAGAGTGAGTCGATATCATTATCAAAATCTTGAAATCGATAGGGGAGAGTTTGTTGGATTCGATTTCATCTCAATCTTAGTCTGTTGGAGCCGATGAAAACGTTAAGAAGTTGGGTTTAGGGCCGATGAATGCGTTAAGAAGTTGGGTTTGGGGATCGCTTTAATGAATTGTACTATTGGCAATAAAGGTTGTTTTTAAGAGTTTAAGAGATTAAGAGTTTAAGAGTTTTAGCCAAATGCATTATAAGATAGTATAGATATGACCATGCATGCTCCTTATACATTTTGACTTTTATTTCCCTCCTGATTATGTAACTAATATTAATGGAGCCGTAAAAATACTTTTTTTATGCATCAGATCTATAATAAAACACAAGATAATTCTTTTAAATATTTACATCTTCTAATTTGTTTGTTGATAAAACATATTCAGAGTCTTTTCTAACAAACCAAAATTCTCAAATATTTTCCATCCTTTCTTGGTGGATACTTATTTGGATATGACAATCAATATCTTTTGAACATATATTTCCTTTTTCTACTAGAAGGGTAATGCAACGAGATACATCTCGATTTTTTTGTTTTTTATTCTTTGTCTATTGATATAATACAATTTTATATGGTTTTGAAAAAGTGATAATATCTTTATTTTTTAATAAAATATAAATATGAAGATATTGTAAGGAAAAAAAATATCGATATTAGTATCAAATTAACTATTTAAAAAATTCTCGTTTTTATGTAATTTCTTTGATTCATTTTTCTTATTTATAATTTAATTTAGGTCTAATAATGAATCAATTTATTTTTGTTTTAATAATATAATTTTTTATAAAAATAATAATTAAGTATATTATTAGAACTTAATAATTATTCTTAGGGCAAAATGCATAAAATAGCAATCTAATTTCATAAATTTCTTTATTATAACATTGTACTTTCAGTTTTTCTTATTACAGCAATGTACTTTCAAATTATTTTTTATTAGGACATTGTACTTTAAAAAATTTATCCATTATAGCATTGGGTAACCTTTTGACTTAAATTTACCCATTATACTAGGTTTCCATGCCACCTCATTGTCCACGTAGGCTGTCCACATGTACTATAGTGATGTGACTTTCTTACTACATCATTGTACTTTCAAAATTATTTTATTATAACATCTACTAGTTCTTATTAAACACTGTATTTTTTATTTTAATATTTAGATATTTTACATGTTTTTTTTAAATAAATGTATTAAATGAATTAAAAAAATTCTAAATTCTTCATTAATATACCAATATCAATAAAACTAGTAGAACACAACTTATCTCGCTAATATTTTTAAAAATATATGTTTTTTGAAAAAAAGAAAATAAGAATTGTTCTTTTTTTACCAAAAAATATTATCTTTACTTGACGAATATATTATATTTGTTTAAAAACTTTTTACTTGACGTATAAATATATT